TGTTGCTCCAAGGACCACTTGATAAGGAGAGTCTTTATCAACTTGATGATGAAGACAAAGGAAGTAAAGCACCTTCAGTTTATTCACCTTCAGTTTATTTAGTTTGAAGAAATAGCAAACAATCATGTAATGAGTTAATGGAATGGCATAATCATTTAGGCCACCCTTCATTTGCAATTTTGTCACAAATATTATGTGATTGTAATATCAATTTTAGCAATGATAAACCACTTTTTTTGAAGCTTGTTAGTTTGGCAAGATGCATAACCTTCCTTTTTTGTCTTTGATTCTCGTGCCTCTTCTCCCCTTGAAATCATTCATATAGACGTGTAGGGTCCAGCTCCACTCTAATCAGTAAATGATTTTAAATATTATATCCATTTCATCGATGACTATAGTTGTTATACTTGTATTTATCCTCTAAAACATATCCTCTAAGACATAAGGGTGAAGTTAAAGGAGTATTCATTCAGTTTAGAAACCTGGTTAAGAATATGCTTAACAGCAGAATTAAAATATTACAATACGATGGAGGTGGTGAATACAAGTCTCTACAAGATATTTTTATCTCCTTTAGTATTCAGTGTCACATGTCTTGTCCTTATACTTCAGCTCAAAATGGTAGGGTTAAGAGGAAACATAGGCATATTGTTGAAATTGGCCTTACCTTACTTGCTCAAGCACATATGCCCCTTCATTATTGGTGGGAAGCCTTTCATACAGGAGTACATGTTATTAATCTTCTTCCTACTACTGTTCTTAAAGGTAAATCTCCTTCCACTGTTCTTTTTAAAAAAAAGCTAGATTATAAAAATATAAAGGTATCTAGGTGTGCTTGTTATCCAAGTTTGCGACCTTACAACCAATATAAGCTACAATTTCATTCTACAAGTTGTCTTTTTTCTTGGCTATAGTGGTCAACATAAAGGCTTTAAGTGTCTTAATTCTTCTGTAAGAGTATTTATATCAAGGCATGTTGTATTCAATGAGAGTAATTTTCATTTTGCTAAAGGTTTCTTGTGCTCATCACAATCTAATGTTACTATTGTGAAATAACCAGTTTCCTTTCCTTTTTGTCTTGAACAAACCACTATCGCATATATTTAAGAGAATCATTCTCAAAAGGGTGATGAATCTCCTATTCGGTCTTTACATAGTGATACAACATGCTCGACCTCTTTGATTAATATAGCTCTTGATACTGATGCTACTCCCATTGATTTGGGTTTTGACAAATATGATGAATAAGAATCTATCAGTGATTCCTTTCTTGGTGATTCACCTCCTACTATTCAAGAAGATATTGTTACTCGACCTGTTACTGGCCATCCTATGGTCACTAGATCCAAAAAAGGTATTCTCAAACCCAAATATCCTTATATTAGTATTACTGTGATGAAATCTCCTGCTGATACAAAATTTGGAAGTGTTGCTGAAGCTCTATCCATTCCTCATTAGAAAAAGGCTATGCAATGTGAATTTGATGCCTTAACAAAAAATCAAACTTGGGATCTAATACCTTAAAGAAATTAGAAGGTCATTAACTATAGATAGGTATTTAAAACCAAATATTGTGCCGATGGATCTGTTGACAAGCATAAAGTGAGACTTGTTGCTAAAGGGTTTCAACAAGATGTTGGTATGAACTTTGGAGCCACCGTTAGTCCAATTCCCAAATTAAATACCATTAAAGTTGTTCTTTTTGTTGTTGTCACCTTAAATTGGCCAATCAAGCAACTTGACATAAATAATGCCTTCTTAAATGGTTTTATTTCAAAAAATGTGTTTATGTTACAACAAGAAGGTTTTGTTGATCCTCAAAGGTCAAATCATGTGTGCAAACTCAAGAAAGCCTTATGTGGCCTAAGGCAATCACCTCGTGCTTGATTTGATCAACTGAGAAATGTTCTTCTTCATATGGGCTTTTATAATAGTAGGAGTGATAACTCCTTGTTTGTTCTTTGCATAGATAAGTTCATTGTCATGCTTATTTATGTTGATGATATTCTCATCAAAGGGAGTGATATTTCTCAAATACAACTAGTTAATAAGCATTTGAATAGTCTTTTTGCTCTAAAAGACCTTAGAAATCTTCACTATTTCCTCGGTTTTGAAGTCAAAAGAGATGCACCTGGATTGTTTCTTCACCAAAGCAAGTACTTGTGTGACATACTTAAAAAACACAATATGTTGTTTGTTGCACCTTATGCTACATTAATAGCCTTAGGAAATTTGTCAAGTCTGAATATAATAAATTACTCAGCAATATTACCAGTTACAGATCTGTAGTTGGAGCTTTACAGTATTTAACAAATACCAGACTTGATATTCCATTTACTATTAGTCATCTCATTTAGTTTCTTAACAAGCCTGGACCATCACACTAGCAAGTTGTGAAGAGGATTTTTCGATATCTTAAAGGGACTGTTAACCTTAGGTTATATATCAGACCTTCTACAAACTTAAATGTTATTGCCTTTGCTGATGTAAATTGGGAAACTTGTCTAATTGATCAGAGATCAGTCTTTGGTTATTGTGTTTATCTTGGCAATTCTTTAAGTTCTTGGTGCTCTAAGAAACAAAATGTTGTAGCTTATTCAAGCACAGAATCCCAATATAAGGCCTTGGCTAATGTTCCAACTGAGATCACATGGTTTCAGTCATTGTTAGATGAACTTAGAATCCCTCATACTAGAACTCCAATCATTTGGTATGATAGCATAAGTGCTGCTACTCTTACTTCAAACCCTGTTTTTCATGCTCGAATAAAGCACATTGAAATTGATATGCATTTTGTTTGTGACAAAGTATTGGTTGGTCAATTATCTATTAATCATGTTCCATCCTATCAACAAATAGCAGACCTGATGACTAAACCTTTGTTTCCAACTCAATTTGCCTACTTAAGGTCTAAACTTGAGGTTTAGCCTTTACCCTCTCATTTGAGGGGGGATGTAAGAAGGAGTTCTATGAATTGATCCAATACTCTATTGATGTAAGAGGAATTCCTATGAATTGGTCCAATATTTCATTAATCCAGTCTAATATATTTGGCCTAACTACATTATTGTGCGATAGTGCCCTGTATATGTGTATGCCTAGCATAGAGCAATACAAGCTAATTTCCTCATTATTACAACTTTTATGTTTCATTATTTTGCTAACTATTTTTAAGTAATTATTATCCTTTATATTTCATTTTAAATTTTAAATCGGGACAAATTTGTCATTTCGTCAAAGAGCAATATGCCAGGCAATTTCCTAAATATACAATTATTATGATATTTCATCATATTTCTTTGTGCTTTGCAAATTTCAAAAATATATTTTTTTATCAATCTCCCAAATAATAACAATAATTTTTTTTTGCCTCAACTATAAAATGAGTTTTTTTTTTGAAGTTTAAAGATTCTTTTCATCTTTCAGAAATTATCATATTTCACGTGTCATGTAAACCAAAAAAAAAAAAAAAAAATCCACCACCACTTGTAGTAGCTCGGAAGGTCCATTGCCTGTAGTTGTAGTTGGAACGCTACAAATTTTATTTGCAAAAAATCAAATTGAAATTAGAGAGAACGACAAAAAAAAAATAGTACTTCTAATGTATGCAAATGATAAAAAGTACTATTAAATATGATACTCCCTTCATTAAAAAATATAAAATATTTTTAATCAAATCTCATCCCTAATAAAGTAATTCTCTATTTTAAAACTAACCCTATTTTTTTTATATTTATCTCTATTAAACACTCTACAATAAATATAAAGTCATTATCAATAGGGATACTTTTAAAAAAAGGCAATGATTACACCTTGAAAGACTAAAAATACCTTATATTTTTTAACATCCAACTCTTTAAAAAAAATATTACATTTTTTAACGGAGGAAGTAATTATTTAATTCCTAGGCTTGTCTGGTATTTTTATTTTTAACAAAATAACATATTTGTCTTATATAACTATTACGCATTAGGAAATAACTAATTTGTTTATGTTATTGACAAATTGCTATTATTTTTTTAATCTGTAAGTTATTTATAGACAAATTTAAAAATGACTACCGCCTTCTAAAAATGACTATTTTAATTATTTTGATTGATAAATAAATTTACAAAAGAAAAAGTAATCATTTTTTATTATATTTTCATCAATAACCCAATCAAAATAATTATTTCTCAATGCTCACTCCATTTTTAAAGATAAGAAAAAATATGGTGTATTTTTTTATTTTTTTAAAAAAATACAAATTTCAAAAAGTATTTATTACAGTTTTTTCAAATTGTCTATCATAAAATCAATGTTAATTTTCATTAGACAATTTTATTTTATTAATTATGGAATAAACTTAATTTTTTAAATTTCAAACATAATTATTATATGTAACTTTCTTAAACTGTATAAATTAGTTATTTTCTCAAAATTGAAAAAGGGAGGGAGTAAATTATACTCACAGAAAACAAATACTATGTGATGTAAACAAAAATTAAAAATGCCAAACACGTTCCCCAGAACTAAATAATAATTATTGCATTGCTTGATTGTGAGTTGCATTAATTTCAAAAGTATTTTGTCATTTTCCCAAAAATATCATAGGACAAATATTTCATAGTCTAGTATCACCAATTTCAGAATATTTAAAAAATTCTCACGCCCTCATCTTTTATCATTTCAATGTTTGATTTTGTTTTGTTGTTTTTTTTTCAATACACAATCTATAGTTTGCAGCCCAGAAAGCGCGCTATTTTCAACACCCATGACAATTCAGCATTGACAGCATCTGACCAACAATTCCTCATCCACACTTGTTGAACGGAAGGAGTCAGAGCCAATCGATATATTCATCAAAACGTGTCCTGCGTTGCTTCTATAGTTATCCAATCTAAAACAAAATTGCCCAACTGGACATTCACAAGACCCATGCGTGTGGCTTTTAACAAGAAAGTTAACAACAAATGACGGTTGACAAAAATAAGAAAAATAAAAAAATCACAAGGAAGATATCACATCAGACCTCAACACGCTAGACTTGCTAACGCTGAGAGAAGCCATCACAAGGCAAAATATCTTGTAATTCAAGCATCAAAGAATATCCTCAGTCTAAGAGGCTTGCAGAGCTTGTCTAAATTTAAGAGTAATATCGGGTTTATTAAATCATCTACTAATTATTTTTACCAATTTGAAACACTCATGAGCAAGAAACACCAGGAACACTTTGTGTCCAAAAAGAAAACCAACCTCCGAAAATAAATTGGCTTGCAAATAACCATGTGCTCCTGGTGCCCACCTCCTGATCTCGCCAGAATAGCTCAAAATCCCTCACGGCTTGAGAGCCAAACTCAACCCAACCTTGGCACTCTTCTCAATGGCTCTCGTGTCTACCTCCCCAGAGATGGTCAAGAACGATTTGGGACGCCACTCATGCTGGATAAGGGCACTAGCACTGCCAGAGTTGTTGACACGAGCTTTCAACGTGGTCAATGGATCCAGGGCATGCTGGGTACCGAGAGTGAAGGTATTCTCATTGGTTGAGAATCTGTGAGTCACATCAGCACCTACAGCCGTGTTGGTCAAGGGGTTCACCATATGGTAGTAAGAAGCATTCAGAGCATCGCCTTTCTCATTCCTGAACAGGTAAAAACCATCGTATCAAAAGACGTACTCCCAATCATTCACAGGAAGGATATGAAGATGTACAATAAAAAGAACAACAAACGGGTTTATTTTAAGAAACTCCACAGCACGAACTCCTAAGGTTCACTCAACAGCTATAGGGCCTTGACATGTAGCTATCATAGTTTTTATTACCAAAACAAAGCTCAAGATTAATTTAAACTGGGAAATGTAAAACCTTCCTTGCTCCCACATGCTAAGACTCACTTGTAGAAGTTGGAAAGGAATCAATGTAGAGTGTTTTCAACAGCAATTCTCACAATAGGAGACGCAACAGTTACTCACACAGTCAGTGAAGCGATAAAGTCTGCCTTCGTGAAGCTCAATCCAGCATTGACTTTAGTTAAATCACCACTTTTGGTATCATATGAGACATCAGTGCCGATAGCAAGGACATTGGATCCTACAACACCTGAGAAGTTGATGATTGGGTTCGCTGTTAGCCCAACGCTTGCGCTTATCCCAGCATTGTCGTGCAGGTACTGAAGTTCCACCTGTTCAAGAACCACAAATCAGACAACGTATTCTACAGACAACCAAGGATGTGACGGTTCAAGGAATTTTAAATCTCCAATAAGGTTGGATTTTAGCTTCAACAACCACCTACTGACACAAGATTTCTCACACCCGCTAAGTATTTCTACAAAATGTTCGATCATCTCACCTTACCAGACCTTTGATCAGGAACTCTGAAGCTAAAGATACTCTTCAAGCCAGGAGCAGGCTCATCAACGGTGATTGTGGTGAAGAGCTAAAGAGCACAAACATTAACAGATTTTAGTCAAATCATATCATAGGAATGTGAAGAGCATAAGTTTGCAAACTTGAGCAATATCAAAACATTGCCCAATGTTATTTATCGAAGTATTTATATAGCATGAATGGACATAGGTTATTAACTAAGAAATTAAAAAGCCAGAGACCTTTATAAAAATGCCACTTAGCATATATCTGCTACATTCTGTTCACCCATCCTAAATGATAAGCAGGCATAGGTCTACTAGAAATTTAAGCATATAATGAATTTCAATGACAAGGTAAGTACACACGAAGAGAAGGAAAAGAACGCTTTCCCAACATGACAACATCCCCATCTAATCAAGAAAAGCTCAAATAATTATTATCACAGAAAAAATAAGAAAGAAAAAAATTATAAACAAATATAATATTTTAAGATAATAGCAAGGACCTCTGCATGCAGAAAGGCATCCCAACATCTCCATAAGAGGAAATGGAGAAACATCATTCAACTTTTGGCCATGCTCATCTAGACTAACATACCAGTACAGTTTAGAATTACTTTAAATTCTGAATTCTCAATAACTTAGTTAATTGACCTGTAAATTGAAGCGAGCCAAACAAAATTATTATGCAACCTTGGGAGTAATAAGCTTACGGTTTATAAACACTGTTATAGTGCTTGAATTAACAAGGCTAATCTAAAAGTCAAGCCGGGCAATCCATTCAATCAAACATGGTATCCTATTTTAACCTAACAATAAAGATACACCAACATATTGGATCGGCTGAAAACCAGGATACAATGGTGATAAAACTCAGATCAATCACCACAACTGGTTTTATAATTCGTGCAATATAGGCAAATAAACAACGGAGGAAAACGTCAAATAACATAAAGAAAGATAAAAAAGAAAAAAACAGAACAAGGACACAGTACTTACTTTAGAATCAGAATCAACTTTAATATCAGTGGTGACGTTTCGGTGCTTCAACTGGGTATTAACATCAGCCAAGAATAGGTCACCTTTCTTAGTTCCTGATGATGTTATAACCTACGATAGCAAGCATAAGTTACTAAAGAGAGGTAGAAATGACACCAAACTGAGTAAGGATGTAAATATCATCATATATAGGTTGCAAAGTACGAATCATTTTGTCAGCATTAAACTACTGCTGACACCATATTTAGCGTAATTTGACTCACATCTAAAACACTACAAAGCATACGTCTTGGTTATCCCCATATCTTTTTGGCAAGATACAGAACGACTTTCATGCTTTACATAAGTAGAACCTAAACGCTGGAACGTTCAGTCGTAGTCCACAGAAACTAAACGCTGCACCGCTAGAAGATCATTTCATGAAAGCGGTGCTACATGCTAATTCAAATTTTGAACCACAAACTTGCAGTCCAATAAAATTAGCCCCAAGAAAAAAAAAATCAAAGAAATAAAAAGGAAGCCAAGAATTAGGCAAGCTGTTTCTTTCATACAACCTGTGAAACAAAGATAATTTTGGCTGGCGTCCCACGCATTTCAAAATCGCACATGCACAAACAGACCAAGAATATAATGCTGCATAGCAGATTGGATATCCATAAAGGAGGGAAGAAGGAAACTCACAACTCCATTAGGCGAGTAAGTGGTGATGGTGAATTTCTGGTTGCTGTGGTAGTCCTTGAACAGAAGATCTATAACCAGAAAACATATTCAATAGAAGCAAAAGGAAGATATAGGAGGAACACTTCCAAGATTAAAAATCCTAAGCACAAGCATAGCAGCAAATCCAGAGCGAAAGGAGAGAGAATACCTCTAGCTCTCTTGCCGATGTCAGTGTAGAGACCAGGACCCTTACCCATGGCTACCTCAAGAAATGGGAATCTGAAATTTTCGGCACGGCGAGAAGAAGCTCACGGATTAATAGCCCAGAGCGGTGGTGACCAGGGCAGACAAATGCCGAAACCCTAATTTCGTCTTGATTTCTTTTTTGGATCAACTAATTTCGTCTTAATTCCTTTTCGAGTGGTATTCCGTTGTTGTGACTTCTTCAGGAGGAAAAATACATGAACCGTTCGATCCAAAACATCAACCGCTTTTCAGCCACATGTGACCGTCGGGGGGAAAGAAAATACTAGGTAGGAAAATTAACATATGTAAAGTTTGGGTTTGAAAGCAGATGTTTCATGACAAATATATTATTTATATAATATTGTGAGAATGAAATCTATTTTTCATATACATTTACATTTTTAATATCGATTTCTCTGAACGGTAAGACGAGAAATGTGTTTTTTTTTTTTTGACAAAAAAGGCAAATTTTATTACAATAAAACGATTACAACCAAACTCACGAGCAGAAACTCAATATTCATCATGAGATTGAAAGCACCAGAAGCAATTTAAAAAAACTTACAATAAAAAATACTCCCTCATTTAAAAATATAAAATATTTTTAACCTAATCTCACTTTCAATAAAGTAGTTATTTACTTTAAAATTAACTTTATTTTTTCATATTTATCTTTATTAAATATCTTATAATAAATATAAAATCATCATTAATATGAGCACTTTAAAAAAAAAAACAATGATTATACCTCAAAAGATTAAAAATACTTTACATTTTTAAACATTCAACTCCTCAATAAATACCTTACATTTTTTAATGGAAGAGATAACTAATAAAATGAATTATTCACAGTTTCATACTTAGAATTAGTTTAAACTTAAACAGCCATAACCAAACAAATCAACACAGAATTAAAAAAGAAAAAACAGAAACAACATCCTGCTGGTTGATTCATGAACATGTAGCAATTTCAAAACTTGACTCATCGCATAACGTTAAAAAAACATCTTAAGAAGCCTCATGTATCTAAATGTGCCTCCAAACCTTGTTACAAAATGAGGGCCAAACCCCAAGGTGTCAATATAAGTAGGTCTTACAGATGAGCCATGTAATCAAAAAACAGGATGAATGATGGGAGAAAAGCGGAGGGAGAGATTTGCACCAAAGTAAAATTATACAGTGATATAAACGCCTTACTTAATAGCATAAGGTGATAGACATTCCTTCAAACAAAATATGAGGGAAAATTTAATCTTTAACCCTTAAATTATTTATATTAAAAAGTAGTAAAGGAAAAGAGAGAACACTTGTTTTAAAATTGAAATGACCAAGAAAATCAATTATTTCACGCTTCTCAAGATGAGAAATCAATATTGCGTGTTGCAAAACAAAGCACACGGGCTCTATCTACACACGGATTCTATCTTCATCACTTTCTGATCAGTTCTTTTAAAAACATGTATCACTTCACTCCCACCCCCAAAATCTTCTAATCTTCCTCATTTTCTAGTTTTCTCTTCACGCATTCACTTAGTCCTTTGCTTATTCTTCTTCAGGTGAGATGTATTTGAGAACTCTAGTGGTATTGCTCATTCTTTTCATCAGATAGATCTTTTAGTTTTTCCTTGCATTTTTTATTTGCTCTCTATGTTATATGAGATCTTCTTCATCCTCTTCTCATTTTTCTTCTCTTCCTTACATTCGATCTAGTATTTGGGAGGCTCTTATAATATTTTTCAATTTAAAAAAAAAGACGAAGTTCACTTACGAGACTTGTCCAACTCATTGGGCTGCACGGGTTACCCCAAGTTAATCCTAAGCCAACTAAGTTGAATTGGGTCAACCATTTCCCGACTTGATCACTTGCCTAGAATGGCTAGATAGTCGGTTCACTAGTCTACCGATTTAATCAACTAATTTAATACAATGCAAATTAAAATCAATGTCCCATGAGTAATTAGGGATGTTCAACTTGTACCCCTCCTCAATTGCCTTGGTTTTGTCTCAATCTTATTGGGATGGGTCTCGTTCGAGCCAAAAAAACAATCAGGACGAGACATATAAGAGGTTCAGGATCAGATGAGACACGAGATTGTCATCTTAAGATGTGTTTGGTTCAAGAAGAGGGAAAGGAAGGGAAGGGTTTTAATATTACCTTGTTTAGTTTCATTGGAGGAGAGGGATTTTTAATGATTCTTTATTTAGTTTAGGAGGAGAGGGGAGGTAATAACTAATTTACTATTATATTTTTATACATTAGTTTAAAATTTTATAATTGTTCCTTATAGAAAATAATTTTACACCTCAATTTAAATTGCATGATTTTTTTAAAAATTTACTATCATTATATCATATTGTTAATTTGTGAATAAAAAAATTAAACCAATAATTATAATGACAATAATTTTTTATAAAAAAACAAATAAATCTCTTAAATATATAATAAAATATGATGAATTTTATTTTTTTAAAATTCAATGAGGTCAATCAAAGTTTGGGAGTGAAACACCATCTGATATGAAGAAGAGTTTTTTTCTTTTTTAGCTACGGGTATACTTAAACATTAAAAAATATATAAGGGTAAAATAATCAAAAAAAATTAGCTCTCCTTAAAAAAACCTCAATTTGAAAGGGAGCAATATGAGGGGAGGGGAAGAGAGGGATTATTTTGGCTCCCCTCCCCTACAAAACTTCTTAAATAAATGAGGGAAGGGGAGCATCCCCTCCAAACCCTCCAACCAAACACACTCTTAATGTCCCAAATATTATTTATATATATATATATAATTTTAAAATATATTAATTATATTAATTATATTAATTATAATTTCAATACGTGTAATTTTTATTTAAAACTAAAATTTTTTATGCTAATAATTTTAATGATACAAAGTACAAAGTACAAGGTAATATCTTTCTTTATAATATATTAGTTATATTAATATAATTTTTTTTATATCTATTTATTTAATAATTTTTGCTTATAACATATTTCTTGCTTTATTTTCGTGAGTATAATTAATTTAACATATTACAACTTAAGAAGAACAACAATAACTTGATATTGTGCATGAGTTGTCTGTTGTCTTTGCTTTTATAGTTTAGAGATTACTTGTAATTAGGGATGTTCAGCTTGAACCCGTCCTGATTGCCCTGGTATCGTCCTGATCATATTAGGACGGGTTTTGTCTCGGTCCAAAAATAATCAGGATTGAACTTTACGGGACGAAAGGGTTTCGGGACGGGACGGGACACGAGATTACCATCGGAATGTCCTGTCCTGTCCCGAATATTATATATATTATTTTTTATTTTAGATATATTAATATAATTTATACTTATATTAATTATATCAATTATAATTTCAATACTTGCAATTCTTATTTAAAACTAGAGTTTTTTATATTGATAATTTTAATGATATGGAGTAAACATGGTGATATCTTTCTTTATAATATATTAATTATATTAATATAATTTATTCTTATATCTATTTATTTAATAAATTTTATTTATAAGGTATTTCTTACTTTATTTTTAGAAGAGTAATTAGCTTAGTACATCTGTACTAAAGTAAAAGAACAATGATTTAATGTTGTGCTTGACTTGCTTGTTGTTGCTAATCTTATAGTATAAAGATCACTTGTATTTGCTATTATAATGCGTAGTTGTGATTAATATAATTCAATAATCAATTTTAAATTGTTATGATTTATATACTTATGTTGTTTTAATTTTAAACTTAATAAATTATATAATTTAAAATTTTATTTATAACGTATTTCTTGCTTTACTTTTAGAAGAGTAATTAGCTTAATATATCTATACTAAAGTAAAAGAACAATGATTTAATGTTGTGCTTGACTTGCTTGTTGTTGCTAATCTTATAGCATAAAGATCACTTATATTTGCTATTATAATGTGTAGTTGTGATTAATATAATTCAATAATCAATTTTAAATTGTTATGATTTATATACTTATATTGTTTTAATTTTAAACTTAATAAATTATATAATTTAAAATTTTAATGAATATTATTATTCAAATCTTTCTTCAATATTATCCCATTTATCGAGACGACGAAATATTCCGATCTTATCTCAATCCTGTTTCAACTTCTAACGAGACAAGACAAGACACGAGACTAAAATTCAATCCCAATCTTTTTTTAGGACATGACACGAGACAGGAGTGTTCCAATCCCGTCCCGTGAACACTCCCACTTATAATTGTTATTACAATGTGTTATATGCTTATAATTGTAATTGACATAATTCAATAATTAACTTTAAATTATAATCTATACACTCGCGTTGTTTTGATTTTAAACTTAATAAATTATATGATTTAAAATTTTAAGAAATGTTATTATCCAAACATTTCTTCCTAATCTTATTCTAATCCTGTCCTGATTTCTAACGAAACAAGACGACTTTCAAGATAGGACGAAATACGAGATAAATTTCTTTTTTTTTTTGAATGAGACATGGGATAAAAATGTCTCAATCTTGTCCCATCTCGTGAATGCTCCTATGAGTAACGAGAACATGCACCGGCAGCAAGTAGTTTAAAAACGGCCTTGGTAACAAGAGCTTATCAAGTCACACAGGTCTATGTCAACGCTTATCGATCAAAAAGTGCCCTGCACTGTTTCTAAATTTATCCAATCTAAGCTAAACTGCCCGACCGGACATCCATAAGACCCACAAAATTTTCGCTCGCGTCAACATCTGCTAGATGCATAATTTAAGCCACGCGTATCGCTTTTAATAAGAAAGTTAACAACAAATGACGGTTGACAAAAACTGAGAAAAATAAAAGAATGACAGAGGAAGATATCCCATCAGATATAAACGATCTCAACATCCTAGACTTGATAACGCTGAGAACAGGCAAAACGGCAAGTATCAATCCTCAGTCTAACAGTGAGGCTTGCAGAGCTTGTCTAAATTTAAGAGTAATATCGCGTTTATTAAATCATCTACTAATTATTTTTACCAATTTGAAACACTCATGAGCAAGAAACACCAGGAACACTGTGTCCAAAAAGAAAACCAACCTCCGAAAATAAATTGGCTTGCAAATAACCATGTGCTCCTGGTGCCCACCTCCTGATCTCGCCAGAATAGCTCAAAATCCCTCACGGCTTGAGAGCCAAACTCAACCCAACCTTGGCACTCTTCTCAATGGCTCTCGTGTCTACCTCCCCAGAGATGGTCAAGAACGATTTGGGACGCCACTCATGCTGGATAAGGGCACTAGCACTGCCAGAGTTGTTGACACGAGCTTTCAACGTGGTCAATGGATCCAGGGCATGCTGGGTACCGAGAGTGAAGGTATTCTCATTGGTTGAGAATCTGTGAGTCACATCAGCACCTACAGCCGTGTTGGTCAAGGGGTTCACCATATGGTAGTAAGAAGCATTCAGAGCATCGCCTTTCTCATTCCTGAACAGGTAAAAACCATCGTATCAAAAGACGTACTCCCAATCATTCACAGGAAGGATATGAAGATGTACAATAAAAAGAACAACAAACGGGTTTATTTTAAGAAACTCCACAGCACGAACTCCTAAGGTTCACTCAACAGCTATAGGGCCTTGACATGTAGCTATCATAGATTTTATTACCAAAACAAAGCTCAAGATTAATTTAAACTGGGAAATGTAAAACCTTCCTTGCTCCCACATGCTAAGACTCACTTGTAGAAGTTGGAAAGGAATCAACTAGAGTGTTTTCAACCGCAATTCTCACAATAGGAGACGCAACAGTTACTCACACAGTCAGTGAAGCGATAAAGTCTGCCTTCGTGAAGCTCAATCCAGCATTGACTTTAGTTAAATCACCACTTTTGGTATCATATGAGACATCAGTGCCGATAGCAAGGACATTGGATCCTATAACACCTGAGAAGTTGATGATTGGGTTCGCTGTTAGCCCAACGCTTGCGCTTATCCCAGCATTGTCGTGCAGGTACTGAAGTTCCACCTGTTTAAGAACCACAAATCAGACAACGTATTCTACAGACAACCAAGGATGTGACGGTTCAAGGAATTTTAAATCTCCAATAAGGTTGGATTTTGGCTTCAACAACCACCTACTGACACAAGATTTCTCACACCCGCTAAGTATTTCTACAAAATGTTCGATCATCTCACCTTACCAGACCTTTGATCAGGAACTCTGAAGCTAAAGATACTCTTCAAGCCAGGAGCAGGCTCATCAACGGTGATTGTGGTGGAGAGCTAAAGAGCACAAACATTAACAGATTTTAGTCAAATCATATCATAGGAATGTGAAGAGCATAAGTTTGCAAACTTGAGCAATATCAGCATTGCCCAATGTTATTTATCGAAATGATTTATATATCATGAATAGACATTGGTTAGTAACTAAGAATTTAAAAAGCCAGAGACCTGGATAAAAATGCCACTAAGCATATATCTGCTACATTCTGTTCACCCATCCTGAGTGATAAGCAAGCATAGGTCTACTAGAAATTTCAGCATACAATGAATTTCAATGACCAGATAAGCACACACAAGAAGAGAACTGAAGAACACTTTTCCAACACGAAACATCTCCATGCAGTCAAGCAAAGCTCAAATAATTATCACAGAAAAGATAAAAATTCTAAAGAATTAAAATATAACATTTGAGGATAATAGCAAGGATATCTGCATAAACAAAGGCATCCCAACATGCAATGGAGAAACGTCCTTCAACTTTAGGCCATGCTCATCTAACTTGTAAGCATAGTTTAGTTTTTTTTCCCCCCCAAATAACTTCTCTAATTGGCTTGTAAATTGATGTAAGTTAAATAAAATTATCACCCAACCTTGGGAGTAATAAACTTACGGTTTAAAAACACAGTGAAAAGTGTTTGGATTAACAAGAACAATCTAAAAGTCAAGCTGTGCAATCCATTCAATCAGACATGGGGATCCTATTTTAACCTAACAATAAGGATATACCAACATATTATTGAATCAGCTGAAAACCATGATGCAACGGTGATAAATCATAAAACTCAGATCATTCACCCCAACTGGTTTCATAATTTGTACAAGACATGCAAATAAAAAATAAAAAGTAAACAAAGGTGCAGTACTTACTTTAGAATCAGAATCAACTTTAATATCAGTGGTGACGTTTCTGTGCTTCAATTGAGTATTGACATCCGCCAAGAACAGGTCACCTTTCTTAGTTCCTGATGACGTTATAACCTGCGATAGCAAACATAGGCTATTAAAGAGAGGTACAAATGACACCAAAACTGAGTAAGGATGTGAATATCATTATTCATCATCGTATAGGTTGCAAAGTGCAAACCATTTTGTCAGCATTAAACAACATCTGAAATAATATCAGCGTAATTTGACTTCCATCCAAAACACTGTAAAGCTTGGCTCTTGGTTATCCCTACATCTTTTGGGCAAGATACAGAATGGCTTTCATGCTTCTACAGACAACAGAAACTAAACGCTGGTACGTTCAGTAGCAGTCCACAGAAACTAAACGCTGCACCACTAGAGGATCATTTCCTGCAAGTGGTGCTGATTCAAGTTTTAAACCACGAACTTTGAATCCAATTAAAACACCCCCAAGAAAAAAAATGAAAGAAATAAAAAGGAAGCCAAGAATTAGGCAAGCTGTTTCTTTCACACAACCCTTCGAATTTCGAACCACAGATAAATTTGGCAGGCCTCGCACGCATTTTAAAATCGCACATGGACAGTCAGACCAAGAACGTTATGCTGTATAGCAGATAGCATATCCATGACTGAGGGAAGGAGAAAACTCACAACTCCACTAGGCGAGTAGGTGGTGATGGTGAATTTCTGGTCGCTGTGATAGTCCTTAAACAGAAGATCTACAACCGAAAAACATATTAAATAAAAGGAAAAGGAAGACGAAATGAGGAGCACTTCACGGATTAAAAATCCCAAGCACAAGCATAGTAACAAGTCCAGATAGAAGAGAGAATACCTCTAGCTCTCTTGCCGATGTCAGTGTAGAGACCAGGACCCTTACCCATGGCTATCCCAAGAAATGGGAATATGAAATTTTCAACACAGCTAAAAGAAGCTCACGGCTTAATAGCCAGAGCAGTGGTGACCAGGGCTGATAAGCATGGAAGCCCTAATTTCGTTTTATATTCTTTTCGAGTGGTATTACGTGATCGTGACTTGGTCAGGAGGAAAAAGACATGAACCGTTCGATCCATAAAATTTAACTGTTTTTCAGCCACTTGTGACCGTCGCAAAAAATACTTGATAAGAAGGAAAATTACACGTCCATTATTTAAAGTTTGAGTTTTTTTATCCAAAAAAGGGTCTGAGTTTGAAAGTATATATATTCTATAACAAATATATTATTTATATAATCTTGTAAGAATGAAATAAAAATATAAAAGTTTCATATAAATTCGCACTTTTAATGTCAAATTCCCGGGAGCGCAGGTTGAAATTGGTTTGAACTTAGAAGGGTTCTCATAAAAAAAAAAAAAAAACAGAGGAATGATTAGCTAGAAGTGAAATAAATGGCAATGTAATTTCCTAAAAAGTATATTTATCGGAAAATTAATATATAAGTTGCTTAGTTAATTTTGTATTACTTTCAAAAAAGTTAAGCATTAAAGATATATTATCTTTTGATTTGAAACAAAAATGAGTTAAAAAAATAAAACTTACCATGATATTGCCTCATAAATGACTTATCTAATTGCGAGGAAAGAGTGAGTTTAGAAAAGCCAATACTTTTAGCTGATCAAACAAGAAATTGTCACTTTCAACCAGGTTAAGCTTCCTCTCCTTACTTAAGAGTTGGGACTTATCTCATTCCATGGTTTGTTAAGCTATTGTTTCTTTTTGGGCACTCAATTCGCATAGTCTAAAATCCAGAATTTACCCCAAAAAAAAAAAAAAACAAACAAACAAAGACAACAATTTAACTGCAAACTTCATTCATATTAAAATGTGTTCTCTTTTCTATTGCAAAAGAAATTTATTTTTTGGCTTGGGTCTGATAAAACAACAGAATCAATTTCAATGCTTATCATATAAATAAGCATTGAAAGCTCATTATTTTTGGATCATTCAAATCTAATTTTCATAATTTAGATTTGAAATTTTTGAATGATTGTTTTTTAAATAAACAATTATTTTTTTTGAAAAACTGACAGTTAAGAAATTATTTTTATTTTCAATTCTACATCCATTAAAATAATTGTTTTCAAAAAAAAGGGTAAAAAATTGTAAATATAGATTATCCAAATTAAATATGAAGAATTCAAAAATAATGAGCTTTCAATACTCTTTTGTATGATAAGAATTGAAATTGTTTCCCAAAGAAACAAGCAATTGGCAAAAGCATTTAGAATCAAAATATAAAGAAGGGCAAAAAGCAATGAGCATGCTCTGAAGACTTGAACAGAATATTATCATGGAGGACACTATTCTGTGATTGTCTGTATTCCTTAAGCCATAAAGATGAAGTAGTTCATATCCATTTGATCAGAAGGCGCAAATAAATAGCATGGGAAGGTAACAAGGTTTTAGTATGTATTATTGACAACAATGTAGAGGAAATCGCGGATTGAATTTAAGAAATGACTGCAAATAGCTGATTTGCTTCTGCAGAGCTGGTGCTGAGACTAGATATCTTCATAAACATGATCCTCTTCAAAATGAACGAGCTACTAAATCAAAGCAAACAGAGCACAAATTTTGAGTCTGGTGGGATTACAGAGAGGTAGAGATAGAGAGGAAATCATTGTACGTATTTCATTTGCTTTTTCGTTAATTTCTATGTATCTCCTTGTGTGGTATGTACATAGATACATCCTACGAACTAAGCAAAACAGTTTAAAAAAAAAAAAAAACTCCGAACTCTGCCAGTCTTGGTGTATTCCACTGTGTAGTTCCTCACCAATTCACTAAACTACAAAGTCTAGTATTGTTTAGCCTTTCTGAATTCACAAGGCTAAGAGGAAATAGTAGGCCAGAGCTATGGGTAAAGAAATGAGCATCCCCAGAATAACCCTGTCACAAAAACAGCATTATTGTATCAGCTTCAAATCTTACTCAAGCTAGCTTATATAATAATCAATCAAGCTTATAAATAATTAAGGGGCTTTGAAGCATAATATACCCAGTGCTTAAAAGAGCTGGATGCACGTTATACTCTTGGGCAAACACAAAGGGAACAATTCCTTGAGGTAGAGCAGCCTGCACTCAAAAAGAACCCCATTATTATATTTACCTTTCTTCTCATAACCTGAAACATTACAGAACGAGAAAAGAAAGGCAAGATAACTTGAACTATTGCTGCTTTCAACAACGTATCTCTTAATCCTACGGCGACAGAGGCTAAGGCCATCAGGGCGGGCCCCATAAGGAATTTCAGTGCCATTGTCACCACTGCCATCTTTGTCCCGCAAGCTATAACGCTAGATTGTGATGCCATGAATAAACCTGTTAGATGCAGTTCTAGGCATTAGGTGTTATTTTTTCAGGAATCAATGGCTTTAAAATTCATTTGGATGTTTGATCTCTTATGTCTTACCCAAGCTGAACATTGCCATACCAAGACCTCCATTAGACAATATGACTATTGATTGCTTAACAACGGAAGGCATATGTATTCCCCACCTGTAATAAATCCGACTTTTATATAGCTGTGGTAATGAACAGAAATGTGTATATATAATAATCTTTAACGTTCTTACCTTACCTAAAGTGTACGGCTGCCCAAATCAAACCTGCTAAAGTTCCGTAGGTGTTAGGATTGGTGATTAACTTCTTCCCCACTGTTGAGAGAACGAGCAAGATCTTCCTTTTCTTTCTTCTTCCGCCTTCTTCTTCCTCTTCTTCTTCTTCTTTAGATTGTTCTTCCTCAGCAGGCTCTGTTTCTTCTTTAAGCAGGAAGCAAGAAGTGAATGAGAGACAACGAAATGGACACGATTTGTTAAATCCATTAGTCTTTAAGCAGGAATAAAAAAAATTACTGGGAACCTGATTGACGCAGAAGAAATCCAAACAAAGAGCGTCTAACCGAATAGAGAAAGAAAGAAAGAAAGCGAAGGATCAGGGAAATTGAAATGCGTTCAGGGCCCACTTTCATTGATTGTCTAAGATTACGTAAGTTGACCGAGAAAGAAGAATCGATCAAAGCGATTAAAAAAAAAAAATATGAGGACGTAGGATATAATCAAATCTTAAAAAAAAAAATGTATATCTCCTACATGGGTTTTGCATTGAGAATGAACCTGAGGCTTGTGGTGATATCGGAGGAGTAGCAAGAGACATGGTATTTGCGGCATCGAACTCATAAAGAAACAAGAGCAAGTTGTACCAGACCACGCTCTGCAACACAATAATCTGGGCAAGGATAGAAACTTGATCCCTATACATGGCAGTCAGGAGAGGAATCCCCAGGATCAAAGTGTTAGGAAGCGTGGACAATGAAAAACCAGTAATGACACATCTCAAACCTCCTCGTGCGCTGATCTTAGCGAAAGCTGATACGGCAAGAAGGGCAAGAAACTTCTGAAGAAACTCGGCGTAAATGAGCTTGAGGCTTATCCTGTAGAGATTGTAGGAAGAGACGACTTGAAAGGACAAGAGAGGAACAGAGAACTTGGCCACGAACTTGTTGATGCCAGAGCATTGATCTGGAGTGAAGAGTTTCCACCATTTGACAGAGACGTAGGCTAAGATCATGGTCACGTATAATGGGACTGTGGCTGAGACCACGTGAAGCAGATCGCGTGAGGGAAGCATGGTGGGCGTTGCAAGGTTTTAGGACATGGACAGAACTTCATAGGCTCTTTCGAGGTTTCTTTAGGGCTATTTGTTTTTGAATTTTTAACGACTAAGATTGAAGGAATAATATTGTCTGCTTTAGTTGAAGCTTCTGCAGAGGTTGTACTGTGTTTCTGTTCTCATCATTGATGGCCTTCCACTTTTTCCAGTGAGATTGAAAACATTAATTTAATTTAGTTAAATAAACCGGCTTTGGAAATTGGGTAGCTTGTTTCAGCCTTTTATTTATCATCATCATCATCATCATTATTTCTGCTTAAAACCAAGAAGAATCCTATTTCCTTCTTAAGTTGGTCTTTCGGTTCATAGGTTCTTTTGCAAAGAAGACCTAGCTAGCAAGAGCCCATTGTAGACTTGGAAGTTCATGTCTTCAATTGTTCTACTTGTCTTTCTTAAAGCAGAGAACTGAAAATGGAAGCTCAGGCCAACCATAATTTTTTTTTATTATCTTTTCAACCATTAATTCAAGAACAAATACCTTGAACAAGTAGCATTATGATGTTGTTAGTTGAATTTCAGTTTTCTCTTTCAGATTTAATGAAGGCTTGTCCGAGCTGAGAAGGAAGAATAAAGAAGTGAATTGAGAAGGAAGTAATGAAGGACTGAGTTAAGAACAATGTGTGGAAGAATAGTTTCTAATTTTGGTCAAAAGTGTGCGAATAAGTGCCCCGGAGAATCTGCTTTTCAAAATGTCATTTTTTTTTTTGCCATAAAAGACCAATAATCTCTTTCTTCAGGTTGTCTTTAGATGCGAATGCAATACCCATTCGTTCAATTTCTTTTTGGTTGCGTTAATGATCTTAAAGTTAAAATGGTGACCATGTCATGCCTCGTAGTTCATACTGATTAAAGTTGATGCGATGATGAAACTTTGTCAGCGTAATATGGCCATTTCCAAAAGTTCTTACCACATATATAACTAACATTATATTAATGTTCAAAAATGACAATGTCAGACAATAGCTACATCGATCTTTAACCATCCTCCTTCTTGGCTTAGAGAGGGGGAGGAAATTAAAGTGAAAGAAACCAGCTTTGTAATGTTATTACTCTGTGATAGTTGGCTTAATGGTAGCACTTTTATTTAAAAAAAAAATTACAATGTTCACTTTAACTTCTACATGATTCCTCTGCTTTGGGTTGAATTAAAATAAAATTAAAATGTCAAGCTAGTAACTTGCTCTGACAAAATTAAAATTTCACGTGGCGGTTCGAATAAACTACTTATCCAAATATATTTTTTTAACTCATAAATGACATTGAATTTGCATATAGAAGAGCTAGAGCTTTAGAGCATAAAGAACCTAAATGCTTTTGATCAGAGGGAACATTTTAATAAATAAAAAAAAACGATCGAGGTCTGAATTATGAAATTTATCTTTGTTGGTGAACAGCAGAAACAAAGTGACGGATCGAAATCTAACATGTGAAGTGCTATGTTATTATATTTTTCTCCTTTAAGTTTAGTGAGTAGTATTTTTTTTTTCTTTTGCTCTAGTATCTGAAGTTTTTGACTCAGACTAATTCAGTTAGGAATTTGCAGGTACTTATTAATTAGAAGGGTATATATATTATTGTTGCTACATATTCATGATTTGACTTGATATCTCTACTAAGTTTCATCAACACTGGATAAAACGTAGCAGCAAACAAATTAAGACTTTCTCACTAAAAATATTTATAAAACTTTTATTGCACATTTTATGATCTCCTTCCTTGGTGTATGTATATATATCTTTTGCTTGCCGATTAATGTACAGACCATCGGGCTTTTGCTTTAGCTTCCTTCTTATACGGTTCTCAGTTTCCAAGAAAAGAAGGGAAAAAAACTCACTGGCCACATAATCACTTCTTTAACAGATTTCCCAAATTGTAGGCATTACTCTTTTTTTTTTGTTAAAAGTAAAAAAAATGTTTTGAAACTTTTTTCATGAGAAGTGCTCAATATCTTAAACTTTTTGTTAAAATAATTTTGCCTAAAAACTTATAAAAAAAAATGCAGTTTTACCCACAGTTAACCTAGACTAACCTTTGAATGTTAAATTTATACTTTTGACTAACACTTTACACGTCATATTTTGAGTGGCTATTCTACCTTTTCTCCACCTCCCCTATCCTCATGTGTCATTGGCGCAAATACTATGCTATGTCTTTCTTTTTTTCTTCTTCACCCACAACCCTCCATTTTAAGGATAGATATTAAATTTCATTTCAACTTGGGGAAGGAGGGCAAAACCATTGCTAAAAAAGGAACAAATGATAAAAGCGAGAAATCAAGAAAACTGCAGATTCAACAAAAAATAAATCAATCTCATTTCAACTAAGAAGCATTTTGGATTGGCCTAGAAGTGAAACATGCAACAACAAGAAGCTAGAAGCCAAAAGCAAAAGAGTGATCTTGAAGATGGCTGTCACTTGTCAAAAATTGCAAAAAGCCACAGCGTCTTAAGAATTGGTGTAAGTGCTTAATAGATTTAAGAATGAAAGGCCACAATTGTGATTCAATTTAATCACACACATGTACACATCTCAATCTGATTCAAAGATAATGGAAAAGTTAGAATCAATGAGCCCTCAATCCCAAGTATTCTATGTTTGGTTGAGAAAGAAGAAGAGTGTGACACATTTGCAGAGATTATTGTAGGTTTACAAGTCATTTCAACTCGAGAACTATTCATCAGAACTAGAGTCGCTTTGAACATTGCCAATGCTCTTTCATTCCAAATTTCATCTCGAGAACAAGTGGATAGAAGCAATTAACATCTCTAGTATGGTTGCTGTAACATCTCAATTTTTAATTCCCTAATTTACTAAGATCAAGAAGGATAATTAAGTAAGTTGATGTAGTGTAGAGAAGAATAATAAGTATTTTTAGTTAAAATTTCAAGTATAATTTAGGTTCAAAGTGAAATTGGGTCACTTAAGAACCAAAAAACAAACTAAATAGCCTTTATAGCACGTGCACGCATTCTTTATACCACATGCCACGGCATGTGGGGACATACGTCACGGCGCACAGTGCGAATTTTATAGAAATAATGCATGATTTGATGAAAAAATAGAAGGAAAGAAAAGGAAAATGGAGGAGACTCGCATTTTCTCTGCTAGGGCATGATCTAGGGGAGGATTTGAGAAGGTTTGAAACTCCAAATCATCCAAAGTAAGATCCCTAAATCCTTTTTCTCTTTTTCTCTTTTATTTTTTCAAGGATTTAAGTTAGGGTTTAGATAAGGATGGTGACTTCGGTCCATATAGGTTATGGGTTTGAATCTATTGATTCAAATAGAGTTAATAGAAGTTGTTTAGAGTATTTAAACTTAGTATAAATGATTTTGGTGGTTGTTGAAGGGAGAGCTCCATTAATAACTGAAATTTCATTTATATGGGTGATTGAAAGAGTATGATGCCATTAATGAGAGTTTAATGACTTATTGATGTTATTGGGGATTAAAGAGGGACAATAAATCCAATAGATAGGCTCAAACTCATGTAAAGTGAACATTGGGCAATTTAGAAATAGAGGATTAAGGGTTTAATGCTTGAGATGGTAATATTGATAAAATTCAACTTGGTTGATTATAGTTTTTGGCTTTTGGTCACATATTTAGCTTGAAATTTAAGTTTGGAAGCTCTTATATTGAGGGATAAACTTTTGATCTCTTAAAGGTTTGAGGTAACCGGGAGAAACCTTACTTTGAGTAGTTATATGTTAATTGATTATAAAGTGACTTCTAAATGTGAAGTTGTATGCATGGGTTGATTTCAATGTGAAAGCATGTGTTAGTTTCAATATGTGTATAATGTTATTGTGGTTTGAAATGTAAATGCCAAATTAAGATATTTTTGAACTATGAACATGCATATGTCTTTAAAAAGATGAATGTGATGATGTGTTGTAAATGAGTAGTGAGTGATTGATTTAATAAAGATGAATAATTGTGATTGAAAAATGTGTGTATATGATATGAGTGAAAGATAAGAAATTGATGTGCACTTGGATAGCACTTGGTCATGAGCCCAATGTGTTGATTTTGATAATGAGCAAAGGAAAAAGTGAAAAGAGTGAGTATTGTCTATGGTATGATGAGTGGGCGAGAGTTCGTTTACGGATTGGGAGTAGAAAAAATTTATATGGTATTTAGGCTGCTTTTCGGTGCATATGAGTATAGCTTTGTCTCACAGTTTGTCGAGGGAGTGTCCCATAGTTTGTTGAGAAACTAGAACCTAGCTTTCTCCACCAATTCAATGAGGAGAATAATCTAGGATATGAGACACCCTAGAGATTCTAGAAATGGGGGAAGCTGTGGTTCAAGAGTGAATCATGTGATCTTTAGCTTGGTCAACCCTACGATTGGCAAGCTTAGGTAGTCCAATCACACAAACGGAGCTCTATTCAGTGTTATAACTCATGATTTTAGTTTGAGAAAATAAGGAGGATATAAGGTTAGTTGATCATTGCCTATACAAATATATGACGTGTCGCACGTATTAAGTTGTGGCAAGTCATGTGAATAAGGAGTAATGTCACATATCTGAGAATATAGTGACAATGTACCAAATATATGTGAGATAAAGAAGTTATTAAATGAGAAATGATGAGTTATGATATGTGTGAGTATGATTTAAGTGCTTGGTTTTATATGCATGTACTTGTTTTATAATTGATATATCATTGCATAAGGTGGGTTTTACCTTAATTACTGAATGGCTAGACTCACCTCTTTCATTTAACACTTTTTAGGTTCTAGCTCTAGTGCTGAAAAGGAGAAAACTCAGGAGACTAAAAATTAGCATATTTTTACGGTAAGCCTCTAATTTAGATTTATTTGTGTAATAGTATATGTTTGTTAATTCTAGGTTGCATGCCATCTCACTTGTACTATTTTGTTATTGCAAATGCCTGATTTATATTTTAGGCCTTAAGTATTTATGCATGTTGAGACACACATATGTATGTATATATATATATAGGGCAAAAATACTAGTGCAAGTGTAAAAATGATGAATTAAACATGTTTTAATTGGTTTGGGTATAATGGAATGCC